TTACTTAAAAAACAATTTAAGCACTGAAGAAAATTTCAATTAATTCTTCTAAGAATAATTTTTTTTTACTTAAATAAAACATTTTATTACATTAAAAATTTAAATTCATATGCAGAAATGTAAAAAGAAAAAAATTTAACAACTATAAAAAAAAATGTTAACTAATTTTTTACCAGCGTCGTCCCACTGTGCTTACGCAACAGCAGGCGCCAGCGCGATGCCGAAGCCGACGTAGTTTTCAAGTGTGTGCACTTGCACTCACACTCATGCGCCGGTACACTCAGACTTGAGTGAATTGAGCTAAGTGCGGACAATTCAGAATTGCGACAGCAGAAATCAAAAAATGCGAAAATATGAAACATTCAAAAAAAAATAAATAAAAACACAAAGGCATGTGCATAAAACATACAAGTTCTGACAGTTAAAGAATATGCAACAAAAAACCGCAACGAATGCTACAAACCTAAGCAGCCACACATAACAACAACAAAACACAAATCAGCATTGAAGCAACATAACTCAAGAATTTCAGTTTACATTTGTTGTTATATATGTATTTGTTCGTGCATTGTTTAATATATTAAATTTAAGTTCGCAACGTCAATGAAAACGTGTTCGCTGAGCGAATATTCGCAATRGTCTCGAGGAGCTAAGTTAGACTTAATAATTTGAAATAGTGCATTTGAATACGATAGAACTGAAATTGATATTGATAAGTGCACGAGCATTCTCTATGAGCGCAATAAATAACGCAAATAAAGAATTGAGTTGACTCGGCAGCGTTCGTGAGTTGCATACAAATTATGAGGGCGACCAAAAAATTGCAGCAATGAGAGGCCGGTGAAGTCGTGCATGGAATTACTTTTCATTTAAATTGTATTATCTCACAACATAGTATGATTGTAAGACGCTTTTATCAGTCATGCCCTGATAATTTAACTGCTCAACAATCTACCCAATGGCGCTGCAAAAATGTGACGAAACCGAAAACAGCACGTCAAATGGGAGAAAAAATCAAGATGCTCATTTATTTCTTTGATTTCCGTTCGTTCGCYACACAGAGCCAATCCATCAATAAGRAACWAATAATCATAATCGATCRTRCAAGGTACAAGGTATTTAAGCTCATAAAATTCGAGAAGTTTTTATAACAATAATGCACCGTCCGATTCTAGTTTGATTGTGGTTCTATTTTTGGCCAGAATGAAACGAGAGTCAACGTATAAAGTACATAGAAATCATTACAAGCATTTACTGAAAGCAATGAAGTCCATCCMAGTCATATGTATAGCAAACGGAACTTATTTAGAAGGCAGTACTAAAGATTTTTGTTAAATTAGATCGRAAGGAATTTCTGAGGTCGTTATCGATTCGCCATTTCTCTGCGCGCTAAATGTTCTTGCTTTCTCTCTCAGCAATATTTAAAGTTCAGGCAGCAACAAAGTTATCGACTTGAATTCCATACAGGAGAGTAGGTCATCAAAGTGCTATACTGTGTTCCAAGATTTTTTAATTAACTTTAATAAATTTTGAACTTGAAATAACGGGTGATCCAAGTAGAGATATTTTTTTAATACAACATGGCTTATTTTACGTCGACGCTTTGAGGTGAATTGTRGGCCAGTGGAATCCATATTTCATCAAAAATAATGCCGGTGTGAACGTAACCGTCAATGGCTACCATTATCGCACCATAATAACCGCCTATTTGATGCCTGTAATTGAATCTCGTGATCTCGGCGACATTTGGTTTCAACAAGACGGTGCCACTTCACACAGATCACATCAATCGAAGGATTTATTGACAGAACACTTCGGTGATCCAGCTTTAAAGCAAAACATCGCGCTTGTCATTCGCCATCAAAAATTGTATTCAAAGAATGAATGATAATCTTCAGAACATATATGCCAAAAAAATTTTTTCGAATGGTGAAAATAAATTTTTCCATTTAAATCTCAAGTTTCTGTGGATATCCTATATATTCCAAAAAAGTAGGGAAACTCGAAATCGAAAGACAAAGCATAAAATAATAATTTTCGTAGATAACATATATAAGTATTACCCTAAAATGATAAATTATGGAGAAAAAAAATCAATCGAGTTGAGATGAAATCATCATTCGATACAATTTACAGTTAGAAAGTTTTGGTACTCAGTTGCAAATATCTCTAAATTCCTGAAAATACCATTCTAACACSAAAAATTTACTGAGAAAACTTTTACCCACACATCTATAAATTTTTCATCATAAAATTTAAAGCAAAATCTTTTTTTCTAAGTTCTCACAACTTATTTCAAACCAACTTTATGCTTACCCTAATACATACGCCCATATATCACGGCAATATTTATGAATAATTTATTATTATTTAACGCATGACATCAAGATGCAGCAATTTAGGCATTTGAACTTCAGATCATGCTGATAGCAATGCCGTTTACAACGCAATTCAGTGCATAAAGCGGCGCTCAAGTGAGTGCTTCGGCTCGTTAGACTCTTCGAGTGCATATTCATTGGTTGCATCCATATAATTAAAGATTGATTATTGAATATTTGTGTAACATTTTTGCGCTGTCTGCACTCAAAAGCGATGCTTGAGACTTGCTTGGTAACCTTGACATTAGCGGCTGTTATAGCTGGACTCATRTACAGGTTTCTAACATGGAACCTGCATTACTGGGAAAAGCGTGGCATAAAACAAGCGAAATCCTATACATTTGTGGGCTCATTTCCCAGCACATTTTCACAACAACGGAATATAGCATATGATTTCAATGACATTTACAGGTATAATAAGTTGGCAGTTAATTGAAAAAAATTTATATATTGAAATATACTTCAATTAGAGCTTATAAGCACGCTGAGAATTTTGTCGGTGTTTTAATGATGCGCACTCCAAAACTRCTAGTGCTGAATCCTGCTTTGGTGCAGCAAATTTTTGTTACGGATTTCCAAAATTTCCACGATAATGAGATTTCAAAAAAAGTTGGTATTTCGTGAAATATTTGTTGATGCATTTTTATATAAACTCATGTTCTTTCCCTTTTAGGTCGACGAAAATAGTGACTTTATTTTCGCTAATAACCCGTTTGTATTAACCGGCTCTAAATGGAAAGAGCGCAGAATGGAAATCATACCCGCCATGACACCAAATCGAGTGAGTTACTGAATGTTAGGCTTTGTATTCTTAACTAGTTCTTGATATTCATTCCCTGGGACTTGATGTATGTTTTTCATGTCAGCGTAAACTTCGATCCCCCATACAAGAAATTTATTTTCACCCGTTCCCGATCTGAAAAAGTTCTTCCGACATTGTAGCGCTCCTTTAGAAAATATTTTCCATATAAGGACTTGATTTCGTTCCATCAGTTTTTACGGCACAGTGATCCGATATYGACGATTCCGACAAATAATCAGCTTCTTGAGTAGAAAAAARCATGTGCAAAAYTTTAAAACGACTTACTGAATTAGTAAACGGGATAGTCAAGAAGGMAATGTTGAGTTATTTCCACCRCCATTCCTCCGTCTCCTGTTATACAACTTCTGCAGATAGCGTCGGGTAAGATCCCCTGCCTTAGAGGATGGACGCCAATAAGGCAATGACTGTTAAAACTCCCACAACTAGGGAGAGGCTAGTCTTAGTCAGGGCAAAGAGATCATCTTGCGATGAAGCTTGGTCCAATTTTCGGCAGCATGTGCACTGATGTTGGCCCAGCGCTGGCCAAGCTCTCGCTAGCCCAACCTAACCAAAAACTGAAGGGTTTTTCGAATATAGACAGGGAGATATTTAACCAACTCAGCTCATCATGCTGATTATTTATATGATAGATAATAACTCTTTAGTGCCCAAAGTTTCTGCTGAGCTGACGAAGTAGTTCAAGCTAATCACTAAGTATCCGACTTCGCTTCACTGCAGCTTTCAAATATATATATTGTATCATATGGCACCGGGTGATAGCAAAGATATTCTTCCATTTAATTCGGCTTTATCCTAGCCTCTTGATTTGATTCCAMCCTTTTGGACGCTTCAATATTTCGATGCCCAAATTCCTTCTCTAGGTTAAAGTGAATCGGCTCTTCCATCAATTGCCTTGTGGATCCCAGCCGATAGCGTTTCGGGTGATTGTGTCTGGATTTCGTCTCGAAATATGCACAACTTTTTTTTAACAGAATTTTGGCCCAAAGGGGTGTTTAATTTGTGCATGACCAAAAGTACGTGTTAGAGACGGTGACGAGMAAGAAAATGTTGCAAAGACATGGGTTAATGAAAATTTGCAGCTTTCGAATGGTAGAGGTTACGAAACTCTAGGTTTCGCAGCCTTATAGAAGTGTAAATTTGAGATTGGTGTTTCACCATATCTAGTTCAGAGTCGTTTAGGCTACCGTATGAAGTATCCAACTTCTTCTTCTTCTTAATTGGCGTAGACACCGCTTACGCGATTATAGCCGAGTTAACAACAGCGCGCCAGTCGTTCCTTCTTTTCGCTACGTGGCGCCAATTGGATATTCCAAGCGTAGCCAGGTCCTTCTCCACTTGGTCCTTCCAACGGAGTGGAGGTCTTCCTCTTCCTCTGCTTCCCYCGGCGGGTACTGCGTCGAATACTTTCAGAGCTGGAGTGTTTTTGTCCATTCGGACAACATGACCTASCCAGCGTAGCCGCTGTCTTTTAATTCGCTGAACTATGTCAATGTCGTCGTATATCTCGTACAGCTCATCGTTCCATCGAATGCGATATTCGCCGTGGTCAACGCGCAAAGGACCATAAATCTTTCGCAGAACTTTTCTCTCGAAAACTCGCAACGCCGACTCATCTGTTGCCTCTCAAGCCTCTGCACCATATAGGAGGACGGGAATTATGAGTGACTTATAGAGTTTGGTTTTTGTTTGTCGAGAGAGGACTTTGCTTCTCAATTGCCTACTCAGTCCGAAGTAGCACCTGTTGGCAAGAGTTATCCTGCGTTGGATTTCCAGGCTGACATTATTGGTGGTGTTTACGCTGGTTCCAAGATAGACGAAATTATCTACGACTTCAAAGTTATGACTGTCAACAGTGACGTGAGTGCCAAGTCGCGAGTGCGACGACTGTTTGTTTGATGACAGGAGATATTTCGTCTTGCCCTCGTTCACTGCCAGACCCATTTGTGTTGCTTCCTTGTCCAGTCTGGAGAAAGCAGAACTAACGGCGCGGGTGTTGAGGCCAATGATATCAATATCATCGGCATACGCCAGCAGCTGTACACTCTTATAGAAGATGGTACCTTCTCTATTAAGTTCTGCAGCTCGAACTATTTTCTCCAGAAGCAGGTTGAAGAAGTCGCACGATAGGGAGTCGCCTTGTCTGAAACCTCGTTTGGTATCGAACGGCTCGGAGAGGTCCAACTAAGTGCTAAAAAATGATAGACGGAGATGTATTAGACGCTGTGTTGATACGCTCAAAGAAAATATTTGCCTTCAAGAGATCGCTTAMGAAGTAATGGTTTCCACATTTTCAAAGGCAGATGTGAATATAGTTAATTCGGAAAGCAAATTTGAGTTAACATTCCCCCAMAAATCAAAACTTGTGCGCTTTCAAAGAGGAACATGTGAATTATTATCTCTTAACAAGWTTAAGCTCACTTCCTGACTTTATCGTGTGAATTTTTGTTATTTTTTAAGATTTTAATTTAATATTTTCAGATAAAAGTCGCCTATCCAATCACCTTGGATGTGTGTCAACGTCTAATACGCTACATTAAAGAGCAAACTAAGATTAGCGCTACCGAAGCTATGGACACCACAGAGGTAAGAAATTGATAAATACAAAAAGTTGCAATCATATAACGGTATTTTTTCGCAGATCTTCTTGCGCTACACATCCGAGGTTGTCAGCGAGTGCGTTTTGGGCATTCGTGCAAACAGTTTCGGCAAGGAGTCGTCGCCAATTTATGCCAATACGAAAAAAATGTTCAGTCAAACTTATATTTTTCGATTTTACCAACTGCTTAACGGGTTCTTCCCCGCGTTGGAGCGTTTCTACAAAATGCGTTTCTTTCCCAAAGATGTTGAAGATTTCTTCATCGGTTTAACGCAGAAAACCATCGATTTGCGGCACAAGCAAGATGTGGATAAAGCCGATTTTATTAATTATATGTTGCAACTGCAGCGGAAACGAAATATATCGACGCCGGAGGTAACGTCGCATGTGATGACCTACATAACCGATGGCTTTTTAACAACAACAACTGCTATAACACATTGTTTGCTGTTGGTAAGAACTTTACAGGTGTTTGTGATTTCCGAATAATACGAAGATAATGAACGATTACGCTCTTGCAGCTCGCACGCTACGAAGACAAACAGCGTCAATTGCGCCAAGAAATTGCGCAGAATCTGGACGTAGATGGTAACTTGAGCTTCGAAGCGCTCTCGGATTTGCCATACTTAGATGCTTGTTTACACGGTTTGTACATAATATCGTACATACGTATATAGTACATAAAACAATAAATATTACTTATATGATTATTTTCCTTTCTAGAGGCTTTAAGAATGTTTCCTCCGATACTCTTCAACAAAAAGCTGTGCACGAACTCTTGTGAGCTGGTTAATAAAGACGGCAGTATTTTGAAAGTGGAGAAGAATGACGTCATTTTGATACCGGCCTACTGCTTTCACCACGATGAAAGCATCTACGAGGAACCAGAGTTATTTAAACCAGAGCGTTTTCTACCCGAAAATGGTGGCTTAAAAAGTTATCGCGATAGGGGCGTATTCTTGGCGTTCGGTGATGGACCACGTGTGTGCCTAGGTGAGTGATAATGCTTGTCGATAAATTGTATATATAAAATATTATATGAGTATGGTGTGGGACGTGGTAGGTCATGCAGGTTCCCAAACACTAACCGATTTGATAAGACTTTCTTTTTGAGTACTAAAATCTAACCGTCTTATTTTTTGAGAGAGCATTTTTAGACTCTCCAAAACATATAAAACAAATGATTGCGTAGCCTGCCTACAAGTTCCCGAACTTTTGGACCATGTGCGACAAGAAATCGTAAATATTAATCATAGAGAGAAACACAAAATCATTGAGAGAGAACACGGACCGCTCCAGAGACGCAGAAATTAAGCAAATTTTTACTTAYCATGCTGGTTTCTAATATCTTGGACCATGTGTCGCAATTATTTTTAGATAATTTTATTTTTTTCTCAATTCTATTGTAGGCATGAGATTTGCGCTCACTCAAAGCAAAGCAGCAATTGCCGAAATCGTGAAGAATTTTGTCATCAAACCCAATCCAAAAACCCGTACGGACAATACCTTAACTAAAGATAGTTTTTTTGGCAGCTTGGAAGGTGGAGTTTGGCTCGATTTTGAAGCCATTGAATCGAAATGAATATGTTTTGAGAATTACTAACTTTATTTAAATACATAGAACATAAYATAAATAAGATTTATTCCCATAACTATTGTAACATGCAAGTTTTCAGCTTCACACCCTCGACTATTACAGTATCTAACCTTCACTAACTCTCGTCCTTTAACCCCAAAGTCACTAGTTTTGCCAAGTGGACACTTATTTGCTAGTTAACATAATGACAATTGCTATAAAAATGACGGCGTATTAATTGCTGTCATATTAAGTGGAGCCAAGCAGCCGGCGCTCGACACACGCAACACACGCCGCACGCGCCGCAACAGACAGACTGGCGGCTGGACAGCTATAATTGGCAACAGGACAATGTGTGGGCTCAAACAGGCGATGCAAACACAARATGCCTGATAAAATGTGCATTATATAATGCTATTTTTACAATATTGCTTTGCAATTGCTTGCGCGAATGACACAGCAATGGAGGACAATGAAAATGTTAAGTACAAATAAAAAATGTTGAGCTTAGAGTGACACTTGTAAATAGAGTTTAATTAAGGCATTTTCTGTTAAATTAACCTTTTGACAAAACTGTTAAAWATAATTTAAAAGGTTTGGAGGTTACTTTATTTGTTGCATCGATTACCTAAAACATGGGAAGTGGCGAATCGAACAAGAGAGCAAGTAGCATAAGTTTAATATGCGAGCTTAAACAGCTAAAGTTGAAAAAAGGACAAAAATGGTTTAAAATGTATTTTCTTATAAAGAGCAGTCGAACAAAAATAATTGGCACTAAAGTCGACTTATCATAAAGTTTGAGAAACATATACATACATACGTACTGGCTTTTATTTCAAAATAAACTTGGAAAAATTAATGAATTAGTTATTATTTCGACTTTGTTAGTTGTTGTCAACATTTTTCTTAGTAAGTTCTGTTAGGTAAGGTGGGCTATGTATGTGGGGCCGCGAATAGTCTCACTAGAAGTTCCAGCGATGCCCGTCCGTCGTGTTTGGCCAAAGCGCCTTGAGACTGCCTATTTTTTTTTTTTTTTTTTTTTTTTTTTTTTTTTTTTTTTTTTTTTTTTTTTTTTTTTTTTTTTTTTTTTTTTTTTTTTTGTTCTTAGCGTAACGTGGCAAACGCTGGACAGTGAAAGAGAGCGTGGCTCGACGTTTCTACCTCATATTTCTCCATATACTAAGAGCAAGTAATTCAATAG